TATAGTGTTCAAAGGTATGCACAAAACATCAAACGTAGTCTTGGCCCCTTGTCAAAATGAATTTCATGAACTTATATCTGCCATTGTCAATCGGGTGGTATTACTAAGAATAATTACAAGATTCTCGTTATTGGTCTGACGAGAAAGAAAATTTTATTTCTGTTTACTAGAAACATTTAATTAGTCTTAATACCTGTGTCCTGATTTTGCGAATATAAGAGCCACTCCCATAGAAAAGCTATGCCTTTTGACTGGATAGATAAAAAAAAATGAGCACAGAAGTCTTTGAGTATTCCACTGTTTCGTTTTCGAAAGATAAATGTAAGACTGACCTTATCTTGGTCACATTTTTTAAAACACACATTAAATATCACTACACCAAACAACAAAGAAAAAACCATTATTGGTGAACCACGATCACTCGATATAAGCCCAATGGAGAATATATGTGCTTCATGAACAAAAACCTTTAGAATTCAGTATCAAAAGACAAAAATGTGGAATGTGTAGAAACTCTGGGACTCCATGCGTTTGAAACTCGTTGAAAGTGAGAAATCCATTTGGGAAAATATCATCAAACAGGATGGCACTAAGTTAGCGATCAATGAAGAAAATCGTGTTGCTGACATTTTTATGTCAAATGATATTGTATTAAATATTGTTCACTCCGTTTTTCAATTGAATCATGTTACTTTTTGCATTTTACTTTAGTTTTATAAACCACAATATTTTTAAAGAAATACATTTAAAAATGTTTATATGTCTACATTATTTCCTAATGTGTTCATTTAGAAAAAAAAATATAGAATGTGGTAATAAACTCTTTCAAGCATTCATTCGTACCGAGTAGAATATTTAATCAGCTTCCCCAAACGAGGTGGTGGCTCTCTACGCTGTAGTGTGTTGAACCTAGTCTATTCAAAACTCGAAACTAAAAGATTATTTTAAGAAATTATTAATTTATTAGAAGTAAACAAACAAAATACATTATGACATAATGAAAAACAGTAATAATAAAAAAAACATTTTTTGCACTGATATAATGCATTTATAAATGTATCAGAACTCTGCATAATATATTTTGTAATTAATTTAACAATACTAAGTTAAAACGTTTAATAATTACCAGTGAACCCTGGGCATATCATAAAATTAAAACCATCTTACTTACCTTGCTAATTTTGTATGGTTTATAATTAAATCCTTTAACTTGATTAAAGTTGCAAATTCGCTCTAAAACCACCGTTTTGTACGTATGCTTTACGCGTATGTGGTGTATTGGAGGGAAGGAAGGAAATAAATAGATCCTCTGGAAATAAGTAGATCATTCATAAAACAGTTGTCGGGTTCTTTATTGCATTTCAAAGCCTTCAGAAATGTTAAGAATAACGTGAACAGAAAGATCGTATTTCGGAAAAACAAATGTACTTCTCAGAACAATTTACTCACTGGCTAGGCAGACGTTTATATACGCCAGTGGAACTACAGAGCGAAGAATCGTACCAGCTCTAGCATCAAAATATCCTAATATTGAAAATTATTGAATTCTACGATTTAACCAGCTATTCTATAAAATAACGTTTATTTGATTGACGAAGTATGTAATAAGCTCATGAACGTTTTTTGAACTAATTCCAACTGTTTTAGTCTTTTCAAACACTCTGGCTGATTTATGATAACTGACTTGTCTGTGTGTAGTACGCTCGTCTGTTACTTTTAAACGTAGAATTTAGGTGATGTGCATATGTTAGCGTTTAATGTACATTTTGGATTCTTAACAAATAATTTTGCAATTAGTTTTCAAGCAAAGTCTTCGTCAAGAATGTCAAACATGAAAGAATAACCTTTAAAAAGGTTCATTGCGAGGGTTTTGAATCTTTATTAAATAAGCGTGACTCAAAGAGGAAAAAGTGCTGCATTTATAAATGAAAATTACTAGCAGAAGTAAAAAGTGCTAAAATAGCACAGAAAAAAGTACCACGTGACTACTAGTTAATCCAGCATTAAGATATCTTTGAAGCTCAATGAGTAGAAAAGTTAATAGTGTGTGTGCCAGTAACAAATGGCAAAACATATTCTTATCCTGTTCATTCTGTTTAACTGATATTAGCATTAGAAGCAATAATAATTTATATTATCTGTGTGTGTGTGTGTGTGATTTCCTTATTACTTATCAATATAAAATGTATTTTTCGTGAGGGTTTAGCTATTTAGGATCGATCAACTTTTAAAATAATTTTGAAATTGTTTATTCTTCACTTAAACGGTCTGTTATTAGTGTTCATAAAAAGCTAAATTTATGAATTATATCATTTATTTCATGCTAACTGACTTGTCTAGTTATTTCCTTAAAATACCTAGTTATTCAAATAATTATCTTAACGGTGATATATCAAGGTTAGCATGGATGTACGAAATGATGTGTTTCTAATGGGTTTAAAATACGTAAGAACTTTTAAAACCAGATCCACTTGCAGATACTAAAGATGTGAAGAGGGATCAATAAGTTGAAGCTCGTCGTTAATTATTTCATGTTAGCATTTTTTTATAATCAACTTATCTAGTAAACAAAAAAGATTTTGAACACAGCAATTAATTATGGTGATTTATCTTAAATGCCTCTTCTTCTATCGTTCATCGAAGGCTTGAAACATTTATATGCGTTTCTGGAATCGTCAAAAACTTTCCGTTGAGTTGCTTGCCGAGTTGTTTCGCGAATGGTGTCTCATACCTAATAAGTGGCGTAAAATCTGGCGTATAACTCTCAACTGTACTCATGAAAAGTATTTTTTAGTTCTTAGGTATATTTGCCGTATAAAGTGCATCCTTAAAGGAACCTGAAATGCATGTATACATTCTCTTATGTTTAAAATAATTATTCAGGGTACTTTCATAGGCTTCGTAAAGAATTGTATAGAATACTTTTTAAACTATTATCTTTTAAGTTCATAAGGTCTGTTACTTCTTTTAAATAGTAGTATTTTATATAGCAAGTATAGTTTTTAATGCACATTTTCTTTATTTATTTTGAAATCAACATTTTAGACTGATCATTACACCTAAATTTGGTAGAATGTATTTACTTTTGCTGGTAGGGTAAACGGAAGGTGTTTTCAAATCGACCCACAAGACAGTTACGGTGCATTCAAATAAAACAAACCCTTTTTATCAACAATGACCTTTAGTAATAAATTCAACGAATATTTTTAGCTGAATGTAAAAGCTTCTTTTGTTTATTGCAATTCATGTAAAATAGTCATTAATAACTTATTTATATTTCAATCAGATTGTTTAATTTTCAATTCACCTACAAAGACCGGTATACCAACTAGTGAGTTTATTTTTAAAAAGTTTTCTAGTTAGTATTTTGATTTTACTTTTAACAAATCTTTTTTTTTTTTTACTTATTATCACTATCTAAGTATACTGTTCTCGTATGTTTCTACACATGTTTGAAAAATAATTCTTTTTAATATCAAGGGTTTTGAAAGAAATAAATCGAGTAAAGATAACAGAATAATACTTTATTTTCTATTTACATTGACGAGAATTTATTAATATTTAGCGGATGAAATGTGTACTCTTTCCCTTGCTCTTATCAAAAGTAACTATTTGGAGTTGATGCACGAGTAGCTGTCTTGATGAATCTCAAGACGTTCTTGGAACGAGTCTCATAAAACATTAAGTTACATTTAGGGATATAAATGTCTTTTGCGAGAGATATTTGGTGTGTTTCCTGAGAGTAGCTGAGTGGCAATCAATATCGAATCCCAAACATAACTTCGGAGAAGCAACCAGAAAATAAAAATATATATCTTCCTTTACTCAAAATCGTATTTATTGATAATTGACTTTTCATAATTATTCTATAAAAATAGTTTTGGATTTGTTACAGTTTTGCTTCAATTACGAAAATTTAAAATTGTTTGATTTTGAAAAATCATAAACTTATAAATATAAATATTAGAGTTGATCTTCCCTGTGACGTCAAAATGAAATTCAGATTAAACAAAAAATCCACAAAACTTTTAAAATGTAGAAAATACTCATTAAAATCATTTGATTTTTTTTATTCTTTTACACTTTAATTAAAAGTGGACTGTGTTAGGTGCTGATCTTACACGCCCAAGTTAACGGGGTTTTTCCGGCCCAAAGCGCTGGCTTTTTATGATACAAAAATTAACAGCATTCATTTCATATGATTATGCGGTACATTAAAGATAACTAGAGTGCCTGTTTGGCTTGGGTGTGCTTGAAAAAACTAAATGCCTAGTACAAATTCACATCTCAAAAGCTCAGATGCTTCCCTCTAGGGAAAGAAACCGGGCTTTAAAAACTACATTGCGGTAATTCCTATCCACTTGATGACACACTAAAAATGATATCAGCTCACGGTGAATGTACTAATACGCAGCCCCATTTGAAAGAAAAATTGACTTTCACAAAACAGGTAAACACTTCAAGAAATGTTCGACTTATTCCTGGGATTTGGTTAAATATTACGGCAATCTTCATTTTACGCTTTGCGCTATTTAAGATTAAAAACTGCTAGCATTGTCTAATAATTTTGTGAAACATGTTAAGTCGAAAAACTAGATTAAAACCTATTTTGGCTATTTTGCATTTTGCTCAGTGCACTAACATTTACATAAAAACAAAACTAACTAAGTTTAATTTTTTACTTTACTAATTTATCGTTAAAAGTATTCAGAAATTTCGCAACGAATTTCTGAAAATTTCCCGATAACAGAACTTAAAATTGCTATATTTACACTCCTCACATGCGTAACACTTACAAGATTGGAGCAAGAACCTTTTTTTAAATTTTCAAAGCTATGATTTCATTTTGTTGGAGCAATAAATATTTACTACAAAATATAATACAGTACTTAAGATTATTCTGTTTTAACTCAAACGTTTGTAAATAAACTAAATCCGCCAAATGGAAGTTTTAGAAAAAAAAAGAAATGTCATTGAACTATCACACTTGATCTTTTGCCGCCCAGTCAGTATGGTGGATATTACCAGCGGCTTGTAACCGAGTGGTCTTGGGTTCGAATCCCGAATAAGGCTTGGATGTAATCTTCGGGAAAAGAAGTCGGTATTTCACCTGAAATGGATTCCCGTCTCGAATTGAAAGCAGCGCACCCCTTCTGTTGTATGCCGGGATCATCGGTTGGAATAAAACAAATCTATATCCTTCTGTGTTTGTAATGCATGTTTCTGTCCTTCCTCTCTCGTCTTCATATGTATCATGTATCTCAGAATAAAACACACGACAACAACTTATTGTTGTAATTAATGTCATTATAATAGTGTATTCATAAAAGAGAAGTTATAATTTCATTTTTTATAAGTAAAAGTTTTTTTTTCAAATCTTTGAGATGATAATTTAGGATTCAAAAAATAAAAAAAGTGGTATCCCTCCTTTATAAAAAGAAATCCAGTTTATACGTTTTACACTACACTGAAAGGAATAAAATTTACATAGGAAAATCTATTATTACTTGACATTTTACCCTTTGTTACAATTCTTTATGGCCATTTTGTTTCATCATTAAATACGTTTTTTGAAACGTATATTAAATACCTTTGCAACACATTAACGTTTAATATTCATTTTTCCATGGTAGACAAAGGGACAGATGCCAACATTCAAAATAGCCTGGAAAACAAACAAAAAAGTGCTTATTTTTTCAACCAAAATATTAATGATTAATTCCACATGTAAAAAACATATCCGAGTTGTTTTCAAACAAATCTGATTAAATCTATGCTATTTAGCTCTAAGGGCCATTTTTGCGTTTGAATAAAAGTAAATACATTTTTTTCCGGATTATTTTTTCGAATTTACATTAAAATGGTTTCCTTGCGTATAAAAACGTTTAATTAAAGGTCCCATAAGTTTTTTTCGTTGTAGAATGCATTGAATAATATTAAATGTAAGTTAACTAGCATTGATTAATTAAATTAGTTAACTCACCTTAATAATAAAAGTTTTTATGTTAACTCCCAATTTTGTTTTTCCTTTCACAGTCAAATAAATTATTTTCTGCTTAAAAAAGGCAAATTTTTTTTTATCAATAAATTTATCTAAATAGAGTTACATTTAATTGCAAAGACATATTATTTCAGTTCAAGAAACCTAATGAATGCAAGTTTTGTTTGATGTTACTTTTTCGTTTCTTGTAAATTTTTTGCATCTATATTTTCTTTCAAATTTAAATATCCTTTAAAAACAATCACAGTTTTACCGATTTTGGTTAGTGCATATTTTCGTACTTAAAAATGTAACAAAAAATATTCGCTGTTAAATATTCAGCAACTTACAAAAACAGCAAGATTTTTTTCAACATTTTATGTCTTTTGTATGATGCAAATTTATTTTGTTACTAATTAAAACATTTTAATACATGACACATTAGATTTTTCTAATGGACGTATGAATTATGTGATTAGAGAGCTTGTTAATTAGAGGTTTAATATACGACTAAAAAAGTAATTTTAATTGGGGGAAAAGTTGTTGTTAGTTTTTACAGGCTTGATTATTTATGAACAATCATGTTTTTACTGAATACTTTGCATAAATCTGTGAATAGAATTGCCTCCAAAAAATTTATATAAAAAAAAATTTCACTATTATGACAATATCTCATAAATCACATTAAAAATTATACCTTCCTAAATTCTTTCGATAAGGATAACATTTACAATGTTCTTTCTTCTAAAAAAAATCTATTGTTAATGGAGAATTTTATGCATAAGTGGGTGTTTCTCTCCCAATTTTGTTAAGTTATAAAATAACTGACTTATTAATGAAGCAATTTTGAATACATAATATTTTCCTTAAAGGCCTGCTATATAAAAGCTCCAAAATAAATTATTGTTATATATATATATATATATATATAATCAAAATTTCTCTAAAAGAGAGAGATAAATAAACATGATCAAACTAAAAAGAATTGAAATTGTAAGATAACCAGATAATAGATTTTAAATGGAAAAATGAAAATAATAGAGGTAAATTTAAAAGCATGGATGCTACAGTATTATAAACATTGCTGACTTTGGACAGCTTAAATATAAAATAATATACTAATAAAAGAGAGTGCTGGTTTGTGTGTTTCAGCTATTCCGGCCAAATTAAGCAACGCAGAAGTGTGAAACTTGGCACGTAGATGCTGTAGGTCATTAAGTTATAAACCTCGAAGAGTTTTTTTCGAAATTCGCATTAGATTTTTTAAAATTCAATTTTAAGCGATTTTCCAGTTACCTTCAGATATGACGTCATATCCCACACGCCATGTGAAAATTAATGTTTTGAGCAGTTTTTCGGAAGATTGTTGCATATACTATTATAAAAAAGTTTTTTAAGGTTTCATTTTTTCGTTTTTTATGTTTTTTGAAGTGGAATTACAATCGTTTTTCGAATAAATCATCGTAAATAGAGTTTTATTAGAATTTCCCTTTTTAGGTTTGGCAACAAGGAGTTGTTTATATCGTATTGCAACGTGGAACCGTTTATGTTAATTGATCTTATTTTATCCTCTTCCGTAATTTCAAAGAAAAGTGATATAATTTGTTTTTACTATGACTGCTGAAAAACTTTCATTGATGCTAATATTTTAAGTTTTGGCTACTAAATCGATCGCCTATTGGGTTTTCCCCCGCCAATGTGGTGGGCAATACCAAAGTTCGCGCGATGTTTTGTATGTTCGGGATAAAGCTTCATTAAATCAGTATATTTTGTAGTTTAAAATAGCTCTATAATTTTAGATAATGAAAATCTTTTATGAGCAAGGCCGTTTTTTAAATTCATGCTCATTAAAGATATCTACCTGTTTTGTTTTTGTATATGATTATTTCTTATATATTTTGTGGTTTATAATACTAAATGTTGATTGTGTTATGAAACAACTGTTCTTGCAAGTCCTAACATCATTACTGTACTGGCTACTTTTAAGATATTTTAATTCTATATTTTTCCATTGATATTTACTTTCATAAAATGTTGTGTTTCATTTTATGCTAATGATTAATGTTCGCTGTACTATGAGTCTCAAGAAGGCGTGATGTAAGATAGAACATGACATTCTATTCAAACTAATTGGGATTATCAGATTACCAGTATCATTTAAGTTGCAATTTATGATACTTACATATTAGCGATGACAGACAAATTAGCGTCTCACGAATCGCTCCTTGATATCAAAGATTCTTACGTGTTTTTATATGAAAAAAAATCAGTCAGATTTTGGTGGATATAGCGTGATTTGCTTAGTGCTAATTTGGCTATGGTGATGCTAATGCGTAAGAATACAAATGCTAACGTAAATTTTTATTTATGTATGAGATTTTCTGACATGTTTTCTTTTTGTTAAACTGAACGTTAGTGGTACTATCAATCTACGTTTGTACTTAGGCTATGTATAGCGTAAAACTAAGTCATCACCTGAATATCAGTACATTTCAGCGGTACTTCTTGCGTACTTCCAACTGCATAGCATGACCTGCTGGTCAAAAAAATAAGTATTTATGTATCATCGCAACCTATTGATGGCATTATATGAAACGAAAGCACATGGTTGCTAATTCAGCGTAGATAACATATAGGAAATCGCAGTTGCCAACTTGACGAGTTATTAAAAGAGTTGCAATTGTTGCAATATAATACATAAGTACCAAAAAATCTTCCAATGACATTTCAGTTCTTACATGTTATCGCAACCTATTAGAGACATTGCATGAAACAAAACACGTTTGCCAATTTAGTGCGTACAACACATGTGGAATCAGCATTGCCAACTTCGCGAGTTATTTTGAACAGTGGCATTGATCAATAAAATCTAAGTACCTACCTTTCCTTCCGTTGAAAAATGGTACTGCTTTTCCTGATACTTATGTATTACAGTCACCGCAGTCAAAATGGCTCTTTTTTCACCAAAATTTGATCCCCCCCCCATTTTAGGCACATAAGAATCTGTTATTTTGATATCATGGTGCAAATTTTGCTGAGGTGACGCCAATACATAAGTACCCTTTTCCTTTATTGGCAGATTTCACGTTTTTCCATTGTAACTAAAAAGTAGAAAAACGTAATTTAAGAAAATGACACTCAATTCAAACTAATTCAGAGTAATAGATTGTCAATACTGTGATTTTAAATTAGAATTTCTATTTACGTATAAGATTCTGCTTATGTTAATTTCATCAAAATCAAATATTAATTTATCTAGTTTAAGTAGCTTTTTGGTTTGAATTAATATTATAATTTCTATACTATATGTAAGATTACTTTTATATTTATTTGTTTCTTTTTTTTTTAATTTTAAATATTTAAGATTTCCTGTCATGTATTTTGTTGTTGTTGTTCAAAACTGTTTATGGCAATTGTATCAAAATTAGGGCTTACTTTTTTCTGTTGTAGATAACCTTTTAATTTAAATTAATATTATAATTCCTATTTCAATGTCAGAGTTTTATTTTTTCGGAACTATTCTTTTCTTGCGTATCATTGTAGGTAAAGTAATTATGTGATGCAAAGACTCAAAAGTCTGTTTTTCAGGCCAAACAATATTTTGTGAGATTTTTTGTAAACAGAATCTTAGATCATGATTACCTATTCATGACACAAATATTAAAGGGTTTTTTTTTACAATCAATGAAGCTGCACCTACACTTCTCACTAGAATTTTTTTTGTCATATCCATTTGTTCTAAAAAAAAAAAAAACATCTGTTAGAAAAACTATGGATGCGATTAAATGCTCATCAAAGTAATTTTCATGACGAATAAATGTTACGTGTCTTACATATCTATGCCATTTTCCGTCGTTGAAAATAAATATTCATCCTTTCTAATTATAATTCTTCCTTTTCAACGGCATATTCAATATTTTTTTCATTGTAAAAAATATTGCTTGGAAGTATAACAGAAAGAAAATGACATTGAATTCAAACTAATTGCTATTAATATGTTGGTAATATCATGAAGATAATGCTTCCTATTTATGAGAAGCCAGAATGTACCATGTTTGTTTTGCGTTGTCACTGTTTTTTGCCTTATGGTCCC